TTCTGATTCATTTACACTTAACCCATCACAATGTTTTCCAAAAACTATTTCCACTGGACCTTTGAAACATGATTCCATTTACCAGTGAATGAGTTCAGAATCCTGCTTATCCCATATAGCATACACACACAAAGATGAAGTGACATCTCCCAGGAAAATTATTGGAATGAAGATTCAAGAGAAAATAAGAATCAACTGGATAATTTGCTCTAGTGCTCACTATGCTCAATAGACTTAAATGAAAGGAGCCAGAAATAAGCAATAACAATTAGTTTGATGGAGAGGAATGGGCAGAACCACCCTGGAAATGTTGGATTTTCAAAGCCTGCAAGGATGCATGGATCATTTCACTTGACTGTAACAACTGCAATAACTCACCTGGAGCAAACTTGGTTGTGTGGGGTCAGTTTCCCCAAAACGGTCAGGTAGGCGTTTCTCAATATGGCTACAATAGGCCTCTTCCAATATGTGTCACCTTGATATAAACTAACAGTGATACCTGAGCCTCAGGAATCCTATGACCATTATGTAAAGAATGCAGATTATTTTAAGTTTAAAGCAGTGAAGGCCTTAGTATTTTTTTGTCCTTTGCCCTTTTTCCTAATCAGAGAAGCAATTACTGCTCCACCCAAAGGAAGGTAGTTTGTAGAGATCATTCAGGTATAGATTTATCAGCAAACATGTTCCCTCTGTCTGAGAATCTCGTCTTTACTCTCGGAGCGAGGATGAGGTGATTCCATTCTTGTCTGTCATGTGAAATATCACCCCCTTCGGGATGCTCAAGTCCTTGAACACAGGAGACATATTCCCTGGTCCACTCCATTTTCTTCAGATTTTAGATTCCCCATAGGTATGTTATTAAATTGAATTTTTCCTTTGCTAGCTTGACTAATGCAGTTTTGATTACTCATACCAGAGGTGTGGGGTATTTTTGGTGTCCAGAATTTTTAGTGGGGCTTTGTTTCAAAGGCAGATTGATTGAGTTATTGGCCATGTGATTTCACTCAATCTCCAGCCTCTCTTTCTTTCATGAAACCCTCTACTAACACAGTTGGCCTTTTTGGTCTGGCCAGAAGCTATCTAGGACCCCACCATAGTCATTTTGTTAGCGTGGACACAGTGTGGACCCAAGACACAGCTTGGCCCACCAAGAGTCACCAGGACACTGTCATCACTAGGGAAATTCCAAAGACTTCGAGGGCCGTCCAGGAAACAGGGACAAAGACCACTCAAATTCTTTCACGCAACGCTTAACTAACCTCATTTCAGCCACACTGAAAATCTTTAGGGAGGGTCTAATTGACAGAAGCTTGCAGTAGGGTTTCAATACACATTGAATTTGCCTGGTTTTTTTTTTTTTTTTTCCAAATCTGTTGTAAGGAAATCAGATTTGTAAAAAATTGAATGCAACAGCCATGGAGAGTTATAAAATAATCATGTGACAGATGGTGTGATATAAAATTATGCTTAAAGACTCTTAAAAGACATGCGCCTCCCTGGTGTGTGAAGCTGTCTATAGTCTCTGCAGCTTGGGTTCTATTCCCGGCTGGCCAGGGAGATATCCACATGGTAGACTCCAGATCCAGTGTACTCTTTAAATGCCTTGCAATAGGAGACTCTGAAGTGTACACTGGCTGTGAGATTAAAGTGGAAAAGCGTTGTGTTCTTCCTGTGTATCATTAAGAGATAGAAAATAAAGCTGCAACCTAGACTAGTTGAAGGCCATGATGAGGATAAAAAAAAAAAAAACTGTTTCATGCTTTTATTTGCACTAAGTTCCAACTAAGGAACTGGTTTAATGAGAGAAAGAGAGATTAGAAGTGGTTACAACTATTTTTATTTCCATTTATTCCTATTTTATGTCAACTATTATTTGTGTATTTTCCAAATTTTCTGCAGTAAATATGTATTTTTCCCTTAAAAAGTACAAAATGGTTATATGGTATTAAGTTATTTTTTCATGACTTTTTCCCCTTTTTCTATTCTTGAAAAATGTAAATTATGTTCTATATTTTGTACAAGGAAAAGCCTTTACTTTTATCCTTGGAAAAGACAACCAATAAAAGGTTTCAAAGAGCAGGAAGTGATTACACGAAGATTCAATTGAGTGTTCTTTTCAAAACTAAATTTTCTTAATAAATATTAATTGCCTTGATGTGTAAAACTATACTTTCTGGTTGGTCCACAACTTGCTGTATCAAATGAAGTACATTTGTACCCATATGGAGCCCTTGTCTGTTCTTTTGCTTTTAGGATAAATTTCCCCCAATTCTGAAGTTAGTAGTAGAGATGTTATCCAATGGAATAAATTAATGTCACAGAGTTTACATTTATTGAAAAACTTAGAATATATCTCTTATATGCTTTACAAAAATTTGGGGTACTGTTCAAACATAGTCTGTGAACTATTGTCAAATTAACATTATTCCCATTGTAGAAAGAAAATAATAATAGAGAGAATCCACATGCATTTTAACATGTCAGATACAAATTGTTGTGTTTAATCTCTTTGTCTATGTTAGATTTTAGTTCACAGCATTCCTTCATTTTACCATTGAACTGCAATGCTCAAATTTAGAAGTGCCCTAAGATGCACTCCTTTAAGTATCTTTCATGAAATAACCCAAGTAGGAACTAAGCTAACCTTTTAAAAGCCTAAATTGGGATATTCCCTCCTTGTCTCTCGCTTATTGTTGGAGACCCCTAAGGCATACAGTGCTGAGAGGAGGAAAATATCAAGGTCGTGGCTAGAAGACTGGTCATGGCTAAAAAACCGATCAGCTCGGCTCGAAGACTGGCCGGTGCACAGAAGGGGATGTTCTTTCTTGTGTCTGCGGAAACTATGTCTGGGGGACAAACTAGATTAGAAAAAGAAACAGAATAACCTGATGGTGCAGAGCCTTGGCGGTAAATGTGTGCCCCGACAAGGCCAAATGCTAAGAGAATGCTTCATTGTCTAGTAACTAACCTGAGGGAGGTGGGGGCTGCTTGTATCAATAAAAATGAGTTGCACCATGCGCTCGGGATGTTTGCGCACGAGTGAGAGACTTTGCATCCTGTGGGTCCCGCTTCTCTCAAACTCTATTTTGTGTCTGTCATTTCTTTTATTTCCTCGGTTCAATCGGATTCCTCTCTCAACCTTGTTCACCGGAGCTGGACTCTGACAGCTTATAGCCTCTCAATATTTCAAATCACAGCCTGTCAGAATTAATACACATAATGCAGTCATTGGCAAAGTGTCAATTAAGGATCGTCCAGTAGATCCTTGGAAGCCCCCGAGACCCTATCAGGGGTTCATGAAATCAAAATTATTTTTATAATAATGTATCTGTGGGGCCTTCCCGGTGGCGCAGCGGTTGAGCGCTGGGTTGCGAAGCTGCTCAGAGCCTCTAAAGCGCTGGTTCGATCCCCGGCTGCTCCCCAGCCACCGGAGGAGGGTCCCACATGGCGCGCAGACCTCTCCTGCCGCCCGCTGCTCCCCTCAGCAGTGTACTTCGGTCCTTCTGCCTGCTCTGCTCCCCGCTCTGGCTCTGGTGAATTCTCTCACCCTCCCGTGCTTCTGACTGTACCCAGTGCTTGTATAAATAAATAAATAAATCTTAAAAATAATAAAAAAAAAAATGTATCTGTGATGAGTCCTTTAGTATGAATCAAGGTGGTGGCCCCACACTATACTCCTAATCACTGTATTCTTTATTGCCACAAACTCACAGTCAAGAAAAAAAAAAAACAAAAAAAAAAACAAGACAAGACAGGCAAAACCAGTACATGTCTTTTTAATATTCTGTCTAATGAAATGCAAAGCACACATAAAACACTTCAGCTATATAATGAAATATGACAACTTCATATTTTCGAGGAAAAGCATTTGTGTGAATATTTGAGTTGTGCACTGAATTGGCCACTTTATTCTTGGAACATGTATTTTTTGACTTGGAAGAAGGAATAACACACTATGGTTATTCATACTCGGGTAGTCGGTAGTTGGCAGACATTTTCTCAAAAAAGAATGAAGTGAGCTTGTCACTTCGGGGAAAACAAGTATCTATTGCCAATGATAAAATTAAAGTTTTAAAGAGAAAATTGGAATCTTGGAAAATTTTATTCATCACCATGAGCTTGACAGCTTCCCAATACTTAAACACTTTTCTGATGCAATTGGTGGTGATATTGATAAATGTGATTTTGTGTCAACATTTGGAAGATCTGTAGAACTCAGTAAGCCAATATGTTCCATCTTACCAATGTATGATGTTACAAAACCAGGCATGAGCAAAAGATCTCCTCAAATTGCAGGACAGAAAATGTTATTAATGGGACAGATTATGAAAAGGTTGCTGATATGGTTTCAGATTCCACATTGCAATGAACCTTTAATAAATTACTGCTTAATTTTAGCGCAGTTACCAAGAGTAGCCACAAAGACTGATAAGGCATATGGAAAGATTTGACATCAAAGGCGACTACAGTGGTTCTTTTGCAAGTACATTTGTTATTGAGAAATGCTAGTAAAACATGACTTTATTGAAATTACTGCTTAATTTACAAAGTGTTTTCCTGCGTGCAAATGGTGTCTATGAGCAGTAACTGTGTCATAATTTTCTTTTCCATTGGTAGTTTACATGGTGAAAACAGGTTATTGGCATTTGTAAAAGCCCATTTTGATAAAAGGGTCTATTGGCACTTGTAAAAGTCCATTTTGATTAATGGTACATCTTAAAGACACTATATTGAACAATGACTTCAATTTTTAATTTCCTTGTGAACAAATTCACCCGTTGAAATTTCCCATGGATAAATGACTTATTAAAGATAAGTTTAATATGTCTTTAAAATGCACTTTAGCTCTTAAGTGCCTCACATATTAAAGATTTGTTCTTGGCAGTGCAAGAAATATATACTCCTTGAAAACTTTTTGGGAAAGAAAATGCTTTCTTTGGATGTTCACCATGAACAGTTAGGACACTCTCAAATAAAACAAATGTTTCTTTTCTTTTAAGGCAAATAAATGGCATTTTCAGATGTTTTCAAACAGACCTCAAAAATGATCCATACCACTGTCATTATTGAGTTTGTGGAGTTGCCATTTAGAGGAGCCCCACTAGGCATGAAGGTTCAAATAAGGTAGGTGACCACAGACCTGAATGATTATAGGGACTACAGACTAAGCTTTGACCTGCATAATCCTTTGCAAATTTGATCTTGCTCCAGACTTTCCCTGCCCTACCAAACTGATTCCTTTCTCTGTTCCCCAAATTTGAGGGAAATATCAAAATAAAATAACATATAGTTCTAGTAATAATGGTTTCACAGAGGGGTAGATTTAAAACACACATACAACACTGGCATAGGAGCAACATATAACTTATCTTACTGACATCTTGAGATCTGGATTCTAGGGATTGTTGAATTATTAGCTGTGTGATTTTGAGCAAACTACTTGACCTCTTTGGGCTCCAGCTTTCTCCTCAGTAAAAGAAAGGGATAAAGTTGATTGCAAAATACTGCAATTTTATGAAAATTCTGCATCATTTGTTTTTGTAGAAATGCTAGAATTCACACGCCAGTCTTTGGACAATACATTATTCTTTTATTTTTAAGATTTATTTATTTATGCATACAAGAACTGGGGTACAGGCCAGAGGTACGGGTGGTGAGAGGACTCACCAGACACAGAGTGGGGAACCAAATAGGTGGATCTACACTGCTGAGGGGAGCAGTGGGTGAGACAGGAGAGGTCTGCTGCGCCATGTGGGTAGCTCCCTGGACAGGGGATCTAACTCATACTGCAGAAGCTGGGGATAGCTTCATATTGCTGTTCTTAACCCCTTGCACCATGAGGGAAGACCATATTAACTATTTTAACAGATGAAAAATGGTTAGCTTAGCTTTCACATTAAATTTTTATCTTAACTTTGTATTTCAACTTGACTGGTTTACTAAGTAATTCATTTATACATTCAAAGAAATGTGTTGAGACTTCACAATGTGCAAAGCATTCTGCTAAATAGCTAGCTGCACAACACCAGCAAGATAGATTGTCTTTGCCTCCTCTGGGCTCTGAGTCCAGTCAAAAAAAGAAAAATTAAACAAGTAGACAAACGTGATAAGATATGTGAACAGAACATATCTATGCTATCAGAGTGTATACCAGAAAAGTCTCAGAGGGTAGTGCTTAGTCAAAGAATCTGTAATAAATCTCTTCTTTAGAATCTCCATTTTTAAAAGTCTTAGTTGTTCATGGAAATCACGAAATGATCAACTAGCTATACTGCAACAACTTCCCTGAACTTGCTGGAGAATTCTGTTTCTACACATATTTATGGTTATTATTTCTTTCCAGCATAGCTAATGATTAGTAAACTGGCAGTTGGGCTTGACTGAGGTTTTGAAGGAAATTGTGAAAAGTGCAAGTGATTATATTACAGTGAAATGTAATGTTTGAGGCTCTGAAATGAGGAATGATATTAAGACTTTCTTATTCACACAAAGAATTCTATTATGCCAATCTTACAATTGGCAACTTGCTCAGATGATAGATTCTAGAAGCATATTCAGCATTCATATATCCAGGACCTATTAGTTTGGGATCAATAGAATCACCATTTTTATTAACGAGGATTAGATATTAAGATTTGCAAATGAAGACTGAGTTGGCACTATTTCACACATAGATCTTGATTCTTGAGTCTTCACTTACATTTCAGAATTTCCCTCTCATTGAAGAAAGACAACTGACACACAATGACATATTTCAGTGAGAAATCTGTGTTTCTGGGTCCAGGTTGAATATCTGGATCCATATGACACAGTCAAGACATGCTTCTATTCTCAACACTCTGTATTGGGAGTTGATATTTTTCTAATTTAGTAGGCCAAAATAAGGGAATAAAAGAAGCATTGTGAGTGATAAAATGATACCTCATGCTGTGTGCCTATATGCAAACAATGGCCTAGAGGAAAAAGTCAAGAAAATAGTCCCATTTACAATCACATCTAAAGAACTGATTATCTAGGAGCAAGCTTCACAAAGAAGATAAAGAACCTGGACCATGAAATAGGTACTAGGTACTAGCTCCTGTCTAGGAAAGTATTGCCTACACCAATATCATGAAGCTATTTTTCTTTGCTCTCTTCTAGAAATTGTATCTGTTTAATTTTTATATTTAGCCTCATGAGCCATCTCAAAATAAGTGTTTCATATTGTGTGAGGTATAAGTTGAGGCTCATTTATCTTCATGTAGGTTACCAGTTGATCCAGTATTATTTATTGAAAAGAATTTCCCCCATTGAATTACTTTGGATTCTTAGTTTAAAAAAATCAGTTCACTGTAAAAGTATGAGCTTATTTTTGAACTCTTTTTTTTCTCATTGACCTATCTGTACATTACTATCACACTTTCTTGACCACAATAGTTTTGCATTAAGTCTTGAAACAAGTAGTGTGTGTTCTTAAAGTTTTTTTTCAAGATCACTTTGACTATTTTTTGGTCTTTAGCATTTTCCTAGAGATTTTATAAATACCTTGTCAATTTCATTTTAAAAGCTGAATGATAATGGTTTATTTTACTTTGAATTCATCAATTAATTTCAAGGGGTTCAGCATCCTAATTTTATGCATTCTTAATCTATGAACATGGCATATCTTTCCATTTATTTAGTACTTTAATCTCAGCAGTGTTTGTAGTTTTGCATGTATAGGTCTTATATATAGCATAAAACTGACTAAAACTGACTCTAAGTATATTCATATACTTGGGATACATTGTTATATTTAAAAAAATTTTATTGTCCAAATTTCATTATTAGTATATAGAATTAAAATTAAATTTTTTGTACATTAATTTTATATCCTGTGACCTTGAGAAAATTTTATACTAGCTATAATGTACATAGTTTGAGGCTATCTTAGGGTCTTCTATGCACATTATTATGTTACTTGTGAATAGACTTCTTTAAAAATTAATTTTATTTTATTTATTTTTTTAAGTCAGAGAATTTTTAAAATTTTTTTAAATTTATATATATTACATCATTGTTCATTTTTAAACAACATTTCTTCCTCCCTCCAATCCCTATAGAATTTCCTTCACCATTTTACCCATACACCAGTCACCTGTGCTCCTTCCTCCCTCCCTCTGATCCCTCTTCCTCCTCCTCCCCTGCAGGATGTATCTGGTTTATAATTGTCTGTTTGTTTTGTTGTGTTTTCTGTTGTTATTATTGTTATTGTTCCCCCTGATGTCTTATTTGGTTCCCCTATATTCCTCCTATAAGTGAAACCATCTGATATTTTTTTTTCTTTTTCCTTCTGACTTATTTCACTGAGCATAATTACTTCTATTTTTTTAATTTAAATTTTATTTTTATATTCCCCATACAATTACAACCCCCTTATTTTGACCCCCAAGCCCTCCTTTCCCCGCCCCCCATCCCCCATAGAGTGTCTCTGGTTCATAGTTGTTTGTTGATTTTGATACTTTCTTTCTTATAGTTATTTTTTTTTTCCTTTCTTACATCATTGTTCTCTCTTCAGGTGTAGCTTCCACAGTTCTCTGACCGTCATGGTACCTTGTGCTCTTCCCTTCCTTTTATTTAACCTCTCTCCCTCTCCAGACTTTTTTATATCTTTTATTCCAGCCACTGTTGAATAGAAGTAGTAAAGGGGGTAAGTTTCCACGTTAGCTCCGGAAATCTGTATTGAAATTGAAACTTTGACCAAATAATAAACTGCACATAATAGGGAAAGACTACAAATCTGGGAAAAGTACAACTCCTTGGGGGAGACAGCTACCCAGATCCTGTGAGCTAAAGAACTATCAGAGCTCGTACAGCGGTGGCAAATATTCAAAGTATGGCAGAGTTGAAATATCTATAGAACAACCTGAAAATACAATAAAGATCCTATGAATGCTAAGCCTAATCAGCTGGCAACCTGTTCTCTCCATAATGAAGAGTGAAACTGTCCTAAAACAACCATCCATCAAACTGTCTTTTGATATTTTATTTTCCTTTCAGAGTATAGTCTAATTATTACTTTAAACACATGTAGCATCCTGGGAGTCAGAAAATCTTCACCCAGATTCTATAACATCCTACTTCTACATTAACCAAGGGAAATGCTGAAGTGTCTCTCAAATCAAAGCTGTTAACTCCACATTGGGGTTACAACATAATATATATGAGATGCTCTTTAGAGAAATATGATTAGAGATTTTGGAAATTAAGACAGGAAAACCAGAAGAAATATCAAATTATAAGAATCACTAGATTTCGGAGACATGTCCCAGAAAGGGTTGTGAAAGCATTACCATAATTTAAGGTTAACTTAGTTTATAGAAGGTCTAGAATACACATCACGGGGAATAATTCTTTGGCCAGAGCAATAGAGAAGATGACTTAATGCCTTTTTTTAGTTTTGGAAAATACTGCATTACCACAGTTAAAAATAATAATTAAATAAAGAAAAAATACCAAAGGCAAATTTGAGTTTTACGCCTTGCCAAGAAAAACAGGAAGACACTTAGGCTGTCACTCAAAGCACAAAAATACAGCAGTTCAAAACCATCCTCTGCCTTTGGCGCCAACTTTTACCAACCATATAGAGTCTGTCTGCCTTCTTTTTATCTCTTTGAACTATTTGGAAAATAATTTATTTTGAGAACTTTGGACTGACGCTGGGCCTCAACGATGTGCCTGCCTTTTCCAATGTGTTCTTTAGAATTTGTGTCACACACATAAGAGGAGTTTTGGGTTGAGCTATCCTTCTGGCTTTATCCATTTAGGGCAAGCTATGCGTGTAAATAATCAAGGACAAAAATCAGGAGCAAATAAATCTGGTGAATTGGTTGAGGCATCACCGTCTTTTGCACCCATTGTATACATGGTCTTTCTCTACCATTTTGTGTCTCCTTCCAACATAGTGCATGATACACTAGAGAGGTCAAGGTATAGTCTCAGAGTCTGATGAAATTTTTAGAACTAGAATTTAGCTGAAGTGTCTCTTATTTTGAGTTGCAGAGTCCTCAAATATGGAATGAGTCATAGAGTCATATGAGAAGTCAACAGACACACTATGGGAGGGGGTGAGGGGAGGAGGAAGGAGGATCAAAACAAGGGGGTGG